ATATATATATATAGTATGGAGGAGAAGCCCACAAAGACAAAAGTGCCAAGGGCCCAAAAAAGTCATAATGTGACCCTCATTTTCCACACTCCTGAGGATATCTCCTTTAGGAAATCTTTATAGACTGGGGAAAAGGGATGTGAGGGGGGCATAGGTGGGAAAGGTGGGGGAAAAGAAGTGCAAGACAGAGCGGAAGTGAAGGGCTGACCCTAGTGATCCCATCCTTCAAAGTATATGCTCTCTCCCTGTCTGTGATTTCTATTCTTTTCTCCATCCCTGTCTCTGAACTTACATTTGCTTGGACCCAGGAGGTAGAGGACTGTATGATACGTCCTATGATACCACTTTACTCATGTCATTTCACTCATTGGGTCAAAAATATAAATATACAACTCAACAACAACAACAAAAGAATCCAAATAAAAATATGGGCCGAGACTTAAATAGACATTTCTCCAAAGATATACAGATGGCCAATAAGCACATGAAAAAATGTTCAACATAACTAATCATTAAGGAAATGCAAATCAAAACCACAATGAGATACTGGTAAAAAAACAGAAAGTAAAAAGTATTGGCAAGAATGTGGAGAAACAGGAAGATTTATGCATTGCTAGTGGGAATGAAAAATAGTGCAGCCACTGTGGGGAACAGTGGTTCCTCAAAAATATTAAACTTAGAATTACCACATGATACAGCAATTCCACTTCTGAGTATATATCCAAAAGAACTGAAAGCAGATTCAAACAGATGTTTGTACACCATGTTCATAGTGGCATTATTTACAATAGCCAAAAGGCGGAAGTAATCAAATGTCCATCAACAGATGAATGGATAAACAAAATGTAGTAATTACATACAACAGAAGATTATTCAGCCTTTAAAAGGAAAGAAATTCTGACATATGCTATAATATGGATAAACCTTGAGGACATCATGCTCAGTGAAATAAGCCAGACACAAAAGGACAAATACTGTATGATTTCACTTACACAGGGTACCTACAGCAGTCAAATTCATTGAGGCAGAAGGTAGAATGGTGGTTGCCAGGGGCTGAGGGAGGGGGGAATGGGAGTTAGCGTTTAATGGATGTGAATTTCAGCTTGGGAAGACGAAAGAGTGCTGGAGATGGATGGCGGTGATGGCTGCATGACCATGTGACTGTACTCAGTACAGTCATCCCTCCCTATCTGTGCTTTCTCTTTCCATGGTTTCAGTACTCTCAGTCAACCACAATTCAAAAATATTAAATAGACAATTCTAGAAATAAATAATTCATAAGTTTTAACTTGTATGCCATTCTGAATAGTATGATGAAATCTTGCTCTGTCCAGCCCAGGAAATGAATCATCCCTTTGTCTTGCATATCCATGCTGTAGATGCTACCTGCCCACTGCTCACTTAGTAGCTGGATGTCACAGAATCACAGTGTTTGTGTTCAAGTAACTCTTCTTTTACTTAGTAACGGCCCCAACACAAAAAAGTAGTAATGCTGGCAATTTGGACATGTCACAGAGAAAGCAGTAAAGTGCTTCCTTTAGGTGAAAAGGTGAAAGTTCTTGACTTAATAAGGAAAGGAAAAAAATTGTATGCTGAGGGTTCTAAGATCTACAGTACAATAAGCTATTTTGAAAGGGAGAGAGAGGGACCACATTGACATAACTTTTATTAAAGTATGTTACTATAATTCTTCCATTTTATTATTAGTTATTATTAATCTCTTATTGTGTCTAACTTATAAATTAAACTTTATCATAGGTATTGTATACATAGGAAACAACACAGTATATACAGGATTCAGTACTATTCGTGGTTTCAGACATCCACTGGAGGTCTTGGAATATATCCCCTGCAGGTAAAAGGGGACTATTGTACCACCGAACTGTACACCAAAGAATGGTTAAAATGGTAACACTTGTATTATATATATTTTACCATGAATTTTAAAAAAGAAGGAAAAAAAGAATGTAAATAGTTCTCCTTTGTCCAGGTCCTAACCCCAGCTGGCTTTTTCCCTGTAGGCAGGTTTATTCTGGAGGTCCTCTGCCTTCTCCTCCTGAACATCTCCAGGGCAAATCCAGTTTCTGTAGCTTCACACATGGGAAAGGTATTCTGCCTTCATCTAGAATACGTGCTGCCCCTCTATGCCTGTGCAAACGTCATCCATCCTTCAAGGCAAAAGCCTAGATCCCCTTCCCCACTCACGAAGCCTTTGCTGACCTATCTAGACTTCTGCCCATTTCTCCCTTTTCTTATCTCTTCTCACCAGACAATTAAAAGTCTGCACTGTGTGCATCACTGTGACAGAGGACACTGTCTTAGACTTCCACTGGGGTTGTCAGTCACCTGTTTCCACGTCAGTAAAAGCTAAGAATGTCTGTCCTAATGACAAATGAGACTATGTGTATGAAAATACAGGTACATAGACCAACCAAGGGGTTGTTCCTACCCCACTCTATCTAGTATATGCTGAAAACAATCAATAAATATCTGGCAGTTTGTCCAGCCCAGCCTGGTTATGAACAGAGAGGCGGGAATGCATTCTCGGTGTGATGAGTGGCAGAGCCCTGCTGTAGCATACCTCCAGGAACAGTGGGGTTTTGGTGCTGGGTCTGTATCATCAGAAGGGTCGAATTAGACTAGCAAAATCCCTTTCCTGGGAAACATGCATTTCTAACAAGCACCCAATAATAAATACCAATGTCATTGAGTGCTTACTAGATACTAGACACTATTATAGGAGTTTTATGTGGGTTGTCGCATTTAATCCGCACAAATAGCCTCATAAGATAGGTACTATTTTCCTATTTTACAAATGAAACTGGAGTTCAAGCTTAGAAATACTATCTTTAGTATGTTTTATAAAAATTTTAACTTCCCTGTTATCTTTGAAAGATTCCATGTTTAATTATGGGGGTCGCTGCCAAACTCTGCCACAGCTATAAATTATTAGAGGGGTGAATGTTAAGCCCTTCCTTTAGGTTTACAAAATTAGTTTATAAACCGAGGTCACAAAGCTTTAAGCGGTAAGCGCCCGGAACTGGCCCAGGTCCACCAGGCTTCAGATGAAAACTGTACTACAGTGCACACTCTAGTTATCTCCTGTGTCCTGCCAGGACCTTTTCCTGTGAGGCAGGCAGAGAGAGGTGGGAGAGTCTTCCCCTCTGGGCTGAGGCCTCCAGGAATCCCGGGACTGATCCGGGTAGGGGATGTTGAACAAGTCTCTTCCATTCGGATTAGGAAAGGCTTCACCTACCTCCTGGAGAAGGTGTGGTCAGGAAGCTGGTCATTGCTGCCAGTGGTTGAAGACCTCGAGGAAGGGCAGATCTGCAGGAAGAAGTGCATAGGCAGGAAAGAATGGGTGGGCCCCTGAGGCCGGAGACGCCTGTAAATCCCAGGAAAGCCTTTGTTGCCAGGTTTTCCTGAGTCCCTTCCCCATTTCCTCTTTTTCTCTTCTGGTTTCCCTGAGTATCTCCCCAGCCTCCAGGTACCAATGTCTCTCCCCAGGCGCAGACCTGAGACCGCATGCATTTGCGGTGCATCACCTCTGAACGCTCTACCCAGAGATCCTTTCACTGGGCTACCACATTTACCTAGGCGATCTCTCAAGGCCTGAGAAAGTTAGGCAAAGGTACGCAAATCCGCAGAGGACCCAGTTTCACCAAAGCGCGATAACAGGTACCCCGGGATTCCACAGCCCGGATTGTGGTGGAGCCATCCACCAGGTGTCAGGAGAGGGCCAGGAAGGTCAGGACCCACGTCCGGGCTCCGGAGCTGGGGTGGGGACAACGGGGTAGCCAGGCAGAGAAAATGGAGATGAGGGCCCTCAGTCGCCTTTTGGCCTGTCTCCGGGCTTGGCCACCTCGCTCCCAGTCCTCGCTTCGTCGTCTGGTGCGCCATGCGCGCACAGCCTACCGAACCCCACTGGCCGGCCAAACCTCACGGCCCCAGCTTGTGACTCGGGCGCCCGGGGGACCCGCGACACCTCTGCGGACGTCGGGGATCACGCCGGGTGGACGGGGCGGGCTGGGTCCTCGCCCCCGCGGCCCCGCCCCTAGCCCCACTCGGAGCCCTCCTGCGTTACCCGCACAAGTAACTCCCCGCGCTGACTGGAGCCGGTGCGCGCCGGGCGGCTGGGCGGTACGTCCCGGGACGCCGCGGTCGGAGCAGCTGCAACCCGCGGCTCTAGCGGAACGCGGAGCTCCGGCCGCTCGCGGTTTCAGTTCTTGCAGTGGCTGAGGTGGCTGCCGTGTGTGTGGGCGACTGGGCTCTCCTGGCGCTCCCGCCCTCCCCAGGTCCCCTCCTCCGCATGCTCACCTTTCCAGTTGGACGGGCTGCCGGGGAAGGGCCGGCGCCACTCCGCGCGTCCTTTTGAACTCGACCCGGGCGCGAACCGCAGAGATTTCCCGGAGGCCTGGAGAGGCCGAGCCAGAGAGACCGACCGAGGGACCCCGAGCTGGAGGAAGCCGCGGAGAGACGCGCAGTTAGCTGCAAAGGCCAGCCGGAGTGGGGGTGGGGGACAGGCCGACTGGGTGGGACAGGAAAGAGGAGAGAAACCGCCCTCTGCAGGTTCCCTCTGCCCGCTGGGCCGCCTCTGCTGCCCGGGGAGGAAAGGCTGCCTTCCCTTCTGCGATTGTCACTTTACTTTCCATCCGGAGCCACTTCCTCCCTCGCTCCGGGGCTCCAGAGAGGATGAGATCTGAACAGCGGGCTAATTGGAATCCGTCCCATTTCCCCGGAGTTGACGTTATTTGTATTTTCAGCAAATGCGAAAAGTTACATTTCTTTGCGTTTGTATATCACTTACATAAATAGGTCTGTGTCCCGAAGCTTGGAAGGTCAGCTAACTTAGGTACATCTACTAAGGGAGGTGAGGTGGGGTGAGAAACGAGGCGCCACCCGCATCTTCCTTGTTCGTTCACATTCATCTGAGGCAGTGTAGCGGAGCGGTTATGAGCGTGTGGACTTTGGATTCAAACAGCCCCAGCTCCTCCGCTGCTTGTTAGCCGTGTGGGCAAATTACTTAACATCTCTGAAACCTGCTTCCTCATCCCTAGAATGGGGGACTGAAAGTGATAATGCCTGTAAAGCCATTTTGTAACACAGGGTAAGCGCCACAATTTAAATATTTATCAGTGTCATACTTTAGCTACCTCTTGACTCACTTCTTTGTGAGGAAGTTCCCAAATTAAGGAGGGAACTCAATGACTAAGAGGATGTGATAGTATATAATGCAGGCTCTGAAGTCAGCTCTGCTGTGTGATCTTGGACAAAGTACTTCTGTTTCATTTCTCTTACGTCGCGTGGGGCAACACCTGTCTCATAGAGTTACTGTGGGGATGGAATGACTTAATACATACTTACTGTAAAGCATTAGAACCTGACCTGGCACATGCTAGTAGCTATTGTCATCCTGGCTTCCCATTTAGAGTTGGAATTCTTGTGGTATAATTCTGCGTTATGTCCCAGTGAAACAGACTTCTGTGCTTGCTTCTTATTCTTGTGAGTTCTGTAGGTTTGGGAATCAATATTTATATAGATCCATAGAAAGACTGGTATCATCAGATTGTGCATGTTCATCAGGCGAATAAAGACTAAAAGAGAAAGTCTCAGAAGAGAGGCATAAAAACCAAAGCCATAAATAAAGCAAGGGTAGTTGCTTTCATTCCTAAAGTTGGTAAAAAACAAAAAGAAAAAACAAAACAAAAAAACCCAGAGAATAAAAAAACAGAAAGTTGGTGAAATTGATTTTATTGAAATATATTGTGTGAGAAATATATGTGTGTGTGACATGTAAGCAAGATGTATGTAAGTTAGTAAGAGAAAGGTCAGCCTAGCCAGTCCTCAGATAAGAGAATATCCAAAAGAAAAGGAAATTCAAATCTTAAGGGCTAAATTCCAAAGGACAGTTGTTTGCATTTACTTACTCTAGCTGACCAGCTGACCATGAATTCCAGGAAAGGTTGAGATCTTGTATCTGGGTCTGTCTCCCTCATTGCATATTCTATTATGTGTTGAAGATTGTTAGAACCACAAACTCAGAGGCCATCTAGCCCAACTGACTCTCTACTGATTTGCTGACACTTTCACAATTTTATCCGAGGGTTGTTAATAGTCTCTCATAAGCATCTTTTTTTTCTTTTTTTTTTTGAGACAGAGCCTCACTTTGTTGCCTGGGCTAGAGTGCCGTGGCGTCAGCCTAGCTCACAGCAACCTCAAACTCCTGGGCTCAAGTGATCCTCCTGCCTCAGCCTCCCGGGTAGCTGGGACTATAGGCACGTGCCACCGTGCCTGGCTAATTTTTTCTATTTTTAGTTATTTGGCTAATTTCTTTCTATTTACAGTAGAGACGGGGTCTCGCTCTTGCTCAGGCTAGTCTCGAACTCCTGAGCTCAAGCAATCCTCTCGCCTCCCACAGTGCTAGGATTACAGGCATGAGCCACCGCACCCAGCCCTTTTTTCTTTTCTTTTCTTTTTTTTTGAGACAGAGTCTCACTGTGTTGCCCGGGCTAGAGTGCCGTGGCGTCAGCCTAGCTCACAGCACCCTCAAACTCCTGGGCTCAAGCGATCCGCCTGCCTCAGCCTCCCGAGTAGCTGGGACTACAGGCATGCGCCACCATGCCCGGCTAATTTTTTCTATATATTTTTAGTTGTCCAATTAATTTCTTTCTATTTTAGTAGAGACGGGGTCTCGCTCTTGCTCAGGCTGGTTTCGAACTCCTGACCTCAAGCAATCCTCCTGCCTCGGCCTCCCAGAGAGCTAGGATTACAGGCGTGAGCCACCGCACCCGGCCAGGTTACGCTTTTTAAAGAAGAGTAATAGCATTAGATTTTAGAAAAAAAAAAAAATGACTCCCAAATATAAACATGTATTTCCAGTTCCCTAATGGACGCATCTACTGGAAAATCCTGTAAGTTCCTCAAACTCCTTGTGTCCAATGCTTGTAGGGAACTCCTAAGGTTTGTTTTTATAGCTTAATCGAGGCATAAGTAATGCAAAATAAACTGCCCATAAAATATACAATTTTATAAGCTTTGAAACATATATATATACCCATAAAACTATCATCATAATCAAAATTAAGAACATTTCTATCATCCCCCAAAGTTTCCTCGTCTTTGAATCACCCTCCTCACCACTAACCCCTGCCACCACTGACTGATCTTCTAGTCATTACAGACACCAACATGCCTTCCCCCACCCCGTACCTCCCTACTCCCACGGTGAGTAATAGTGCCATAGTTCTCCATTTCCCTGGCCACAGGATGGACACATCATGCAAACTGGGCCAGTCAGATTCTTTCTCTAAGGAGTTTGGATTTGGGGAGGACATGTTGGCAGGTGAAGCTGAGTCTTCCAATGGCAGCTGCTTTGAGGAACTGTCCACACATTCCTGCTGTAGACATCCCTGGGCTGGCTCTTGTTCTTTCCTGTAGCCTGGTTATTCTTTCAGTTTTATGAGCTGCTTGATATCCTTCTAACATATCCTTTATTGCTTAATTTTGTCAGTTTGTTGCTTGTAACCAGAGAATCCATATAAATACACTATCTCCCATAGTCACTGTTTCAGGGAATGGCACCACCAAATTCTAGTATCTCAAGCCTAACCTAGAATAATTCCTTAAAACCTCAGTCTTCATCATGTGTCCCCTTTTAACCCATCACAAAATCCTGCCCATTTGGCTCCCTGCTCAATATTCTCACTAACTCTTTAAATATCTTACTTTTTTCCCCCCTCATCATTGTTTCCCCCGAATTAGTACTAGTTCTCAGTGCTTGGCACAGAGTTCATGCTTAATAAATGCTTGCTGAGTGATTGAACAAATGGTGATATCTCTAAAAGCAAGAGCAAAGATGGAAGAGTGTTTGAATATATATGTGTATTTATCAAGGTGGCAGGACTTCAGAGCTACTTTTAATGTTTTCACAAACATTTTCACGGAAGGCAAATGATAGAATTTGAATCCAGGACTTCTGACTCCAAATTTCATGCCATTTCCATGATATTATTATTATTATTATACTTTGCATCCTTTACCTTCACTTGGAGTTTCATATCTTCTAATATCCTGCTCAGATCCTTATTCATACCGAATATTAGGTTGTAAACACTAGATATAACTCTAAAATATAACTCCTTTCCAAGGGTATTTGCTTATTAACCAAAGTGGGGGAGGGCATGCAGTAGCGTATCTGGATTGAGGAGAGGAGTCTGTGTCCCCTGACATCATTATTACGGCTAGGAGGTAGGGTGAGCTAGGGGTCAAGGATGCAACTAAAGCTTTCTGAACCTGGGGCAGAATCAATAACTTTGCCCAAGTGGAAAACAGTGAGCTGGGCTGGAGTAATGCCCTGTATCAAACAAAGAATCCATATACAGTCAGAATCATACTTTATTTAACAGTCTGAAAATCTATTCTTCTGGCTAGTGGTTTAAGTCAAAGACAGATTTGTTCACTATTCTCTGAGTATGTGTCGTTATATGTCTCTGTGTGGACAAGTGTTTGTCTATAGATACTTTTGCTTTATAGCCCCATTTTAATTGATACATAGAGTCTTATTCTTCTAAAAATGCTAAAACCCGAATTAAGTATTCCCCGAGTCTAACATTCTCTTCTCCCAAGACTGCTTGCCTCCCTCCCTCCCTCCCACAAGACTGTTCCTCAGCTTCCAATAATGCCAGGTTTTAGAGACCACCAGCATTCATACTGTCTGAGAATCTAGAAATGAATGCTGGCTCTTATATCCCTCTGACCTATACCCTCTAGTTGAGGAGCTTCTCTGGGGAGGCATGTGTATGGGAGGGTCTTGGCAATTTCTCTTCAGAGTTGTGCATCTTGACTTGTAGATCCCTGGAAAGCAAACACGGTTGTATTAGGTGCTGGCCTGCCCTCCCATCAACCACTTAAGAGGGGTAGAAACTCAACTTGCTTCTATTGAATTGTATTTCACGTAATGCCACTGGCCTGTATTGAGGGATACAATGTGAAACTTGTTGGGATTATTGTAAGAACTTGTTGCAGATATTGTTCATTATATCATTCACCATCTCTTCGTAATGGGCATCATGAATGAGTGAACTGACGTTTTTCTCTTCTTCTTTGATGTTAGAAAGAATGGAACCAATTTTGTGGTCCATCTGTAGTAAGTTTATTTCATAGAATGCATTTTTTGTACTTTAATTCATGGCTCCATTTTGTGTCACTGTCTTGTCTCATATACTTCTGAATTATTTTGCTATATTAGGTGTGTATACATGAAAGTATATTGTATAAGTATATGACACATACAGTCATGCATTGCATAATGATGTTTCAATCAATCATGGACCGTATATATGACAGTGGTCCCATAAGATTATAATTGAGCTGAAAAAATCCTATCACCCAGTGACATTGTAGCTGTTGTAATGGCACAGCACAGCGCATTACTCACACATTTGTGGTGATGCTCGTGTAAACAAAGCTTCTGCACTGCCAGTTGTATAAAAGTATATCACATGCCATTACATACAGGACATAATTTAAACAACTATGTTACTGGTGTATGTATTTACTATACTATACTTTTTATTATTATTTTAGTGTGTACTCCTTCTACTTATTAAGAAAAAAGTTAACTGTAGAACATCCTCAGGCAGGTCCTTCAGAAGGTATCCAAGAAGGCGGCATTGTTATCATAGGAGATGACAACTCTATACCTGTTACCCTGAAGATCTTCCAACAGGACAAGATGTGAAGGTGGAAGACAGTGATGCTGATGATTCTGACGTAGGTCTAGTCTAATATGTATATTTTTATCTTAGTTTTTTTTCCCTCCCATTTATTTATTTTTAATTCTTTTAGAGATGGGATCTTACTATGTTACCGGGACAGGCTGGACTTGAATTCCTGGGCTCTAGTGAACCTTCCGCTTCAAGTTCCCCAGTAGCTGGGACTATAGGTGTGTGCCACTGCACCTGACTCTATGTCTTAGTTTATAACAAAAAGTTTAAAAAGTAAAAAAAAAAGTAAAAAAATAAAAAAATAATCAAAAATAGAAAAAAGCTTATAGAATAAGAATATAAAGAAAAAATATTTTTGTGTAGCTGTACAACGTATTTGTGTTTTAAGCTGTTATTACAAGAGTCAAAAAGTTAAAAAAATTAAACGTTTATAAAGTAAAAATGTTTCAGTAAGCTAAGGTTAATTTATTATTGAAGAAAGAAATTTTTCATTAGTGTAGCCTAAGTGTAGTGTTTATAAAGTCTACAGTGGTGTATAGTAATGTCCTCGGCCTTCACATTCACTCACCATCCACTTACTGACTCACCTAGAGCAACTTCCAGTCCTGCGGGCTTTGTTCATGGTAAGTGCCCTAGACAGGTATACTGTTTTTTATCTTCTATATCATATTTTTACTGTACTTTTTCTATGTTTAGCTATATATAGATATACAAATATTCACCATGGTGTTACAATTGCCTACAGTATTTAGTATGGGAACATGCTGTACAGATCATAGCCTAGGTGTGCAGTAGGATATACCATCTAGGTTTGTGTAAGTATGCTCTGATGTTCACACAACAAAATCACCTAACAACACATTTCTCAGAACATAATCTCGTTAAGCAATGCATGACTGTATAATATACATATGACCTTTTGGTATTCTTTTTGTATATCTTAACCTCTGTAACTCCTTTTGAAATAAGTTCAGATATAATGAAACACTTATGAGATAGGGCTAGTTTAAGGCCAAGTGTTGTGAAACGGGCACAGACACCATGAAGTCCCAGTTCATTCTTAGTTCCTTTGGTTCCCACCTGCTTGACTTCGCTCTAAAGGTATGGTTTACTGCTGGATTCCCCTTATACTTGTAGCTCATGGTGAGGATTCCAGCCTGTAGTCAAACTCTTGTCCATCCAATGCCCAATCTTACCACCCACACTGTTCCCTGTATATCTGGTCTCCTTACCTCTTCTTGAGGCTCAGGTGCTGTGAGATTGCTGTCTCCTGGAACTGCAGAGTCTTGAAGCTGAAGGCCGTGGCCCTACAAAGAGAAGTGTTCTGCCCATGAGAGGTGGCTCAACCTCCCCAGCACCTCTGCTTGGAAAGGTCTTCTGTGCCTTACACTTTATAAGGGTCATATATAATACAAAGGGCAAACATATAATGTTGTTTCACCAGAGCCTGAAGGCATCAGAGGTGGCTTTTCTCCATCCTTTTACAGATGGAGAAACCAAGATTCAAAGGGTAAAAAGACTTGCTGGGACAGGAAACCAGGTCTTTGGACTCCAGAGTTGTTTCTATAACCAAACATCATGTGATTTGTGTGACATGTCTGTATGGGAGTGTGAGGTCTTAAACCTACTGCCTGCCACTTTTAGACTAACCCTCCTTAAGAAGGCACTGCAATTCTCACACTTAAGTGATCCTAACCCATGACAAGCAGTTAGGAGAAGCAAATGGTAAAATGGTTTCTTTGGGAAAAGTTCTAGGTTCTGAGATGGGAACCCAGGATGTAGAAAGCCCCATCTAGGCTGGGCACGGTGGTGTGTGCCTGTAGTCCCAGCTACTCAGGAGGCTGGGGCAGGAGAATCATGAGGCCAGGAGTTTGAGGCTGCAGTGTGCAATGATCACACCTATGAATACTCACTGTACTCCAGCCTGAGCAACATAAGGAGACCCCATCTCTAAAAAAAATTTAAAAAAAAAAGAAAGCCCTGTTTAGGAACTGCTATGCCAGGAGAAGACTTTGGTACTCTGAGGTAGAAAAACAATTTTTTAAATTGAAATTTAATTCATGCCCTATAAAATCTATCTTTTTAAATAGAATCAATTTCTAACAGTGTGATAGCCACTTGAAATTCTGTGATTTCTCCTTTAAGGAAAATTTCCTTCTTACTCCCTTCTCCCCTTTCCAGGCCATAAATTAGCTCAAAGGTAATATTACCTCCCAGAAAGTTATCAAAACCTTCCTTCTCTCTCAGATGATTCAAATGCTGAGCAAGAACAGATTTTTTTCCCCTAGTTATATTTCTATTTACCCATTTTTACATGTGATATGTCCATAATTCTGCCTGAGAGGAAACATGACTTATGATACACCTGCAAGGGAAGTGAGCAAATCTTGTAGAATACAAGCTTCAGAGGATAGGTGACACTGATAGGATCTAAGATGCTCAGTTGCTTAATTCCACAGGGTAAATAAGTCACCTTCGATGACCAAAGAAATGGGAAAGGAAGTTGTATCCTATACCTCTTCCTCAGGGAGAACAGTGTTACTAGCCTATTTCTTAAAATGATCAGACATATAAAATCATGTAATACATTACAAAATAAAATAGAAAATTTTTTTTTTTTTTGGAGAAAGGATCTCACTGTGTTGCCCAGGCTGGAGTGAATGACACAATCAATCACAGCTCACTGTAACCTCAAACTCCTGGGCTCAAGCCATCCTCCCACTTCAGCCTCCCAAGTAGCTAGGACTACAAGTGCACACCAACGCATTTGGCTAATTTTAAAAAATTTTTGTGGAGAGATGGTCTCATTATGTTGCCTAGGCTGGTGTCAGACTCCTGACCTCAAGCAATCTTCCCACCTTGGCCTCCCAAAGTGCTGTGATTATAGGCGTGCGCCGCCCTGCCCAGCGTCAAATTGAATTAATTTTGGATTTTCCATACCACTGAATTGCTCTTTTCAGTGGAGAAAAATGAGACCTGCTATACTTTACCTGCTCATGTCCTGTTGTTATTTACTGGCCACATGTCTTGCATATCTTTCTTAATCAGCATAGCTGTCTCAGACTAGAAACGAGCCAATGAAAAGCTTTTCTTTTTTAAATTTATTTTAGAGATAGGTTCTCATCCTGTTGCCCAGGCTGGAGTGCAGTGGCTATTCATAGGCACCATTATGGCACATTACAGCCTCGAACTCCTGGTCTTACGTGATCCTCCTGGCTTAGCGACCTGAGTAGCTGGGACTACAGGTGCACAGCACTGTGCCCAGCTTAAGAAAAAGTTTTATTAATATATCTTGCTCTGTTAGGGCCTTCAATGCCTCATGTGAATCAGGACTGAGGGCATAATAATGTTGGTGACTTAGATTTCAGTACCTCAGGGGAGTCAGCTGAAATAAGCTTATTATTCTCTTCCTTGTCTTCCATCTTCCTTGCTGTTTCAGGCTCTGAAAAAACCTGTGAATCGAAGTAAACAATGTAGGAGAAAGTCTCACACCTTTGCACCCTGGATGCCACTCTTAAACCCGTTGTCCATATTAGCTCCTCTCAGATAGCAGGAGGTTCCCAAGGTAGCCTGGTCAATCTTAGGTTAGGCGTAGGGTGGTGTGATCTGAGGGGTACCAGAAATCTCAGACACTTTTTCCAGATATCCATATAGCTCATGTCCTGGCCTTCTTCACTACCCAAATGTCACCTATGACCACTCTGGATAAACTTGCAATTCAGCCCCGACTCCCTGTGCCCTCCCCTACTTAATTTTTCTTCATATCTCTTATCCCCACTGGATTGTAATTTTACTTATTTATTCTTTTTCTTGTGTCTTCCTGCACTAGAATATAAGCCTCAGGAAGGCAGCGGATTCTTTTGTTGTTGCTGTTCACTGTCATACCCTACCTCCTAAAAAAGTGCCTGGCACATAGCAGGGGCTCAATAAGTGATTGTGGAATGAATGAATAAATCTTGGTGCCATCTTGTCAGACATCTCACCATAATCCTCTACAATATACCCCATTGTCGATCTTACTTACTTATTATTTATGTATTCATTTATTTAGAGACAGAATCTTGCTCTGTCACCTGCAATGGAGTGCAGTGGTGTCATCATAGCTCACAGCAACCTCAAACTCCTGGGCTCAAGCAATCCTCCTGCCTCAGCCTCCCAAGTAGCTGGGACTAAAGGGCCCAGCTAACTTTATTATTTTTTTCTTTTTTGTAGAGACAGGGTTTCCCTCTTGCTCAGGCTGGTCTTGAACTCCTGAACTTAAGCAATTCTCCTGCCTTGGCCTCCCAGAGTGCTAGGATTACAGGTGTGAGCCACTATGCCCAGCCTATCCTTAGCTCTTAACATCAAGGAAAGAAAACTATTTCTCAAGGTGGCCCATCCCATTTTGCTTTTTGTCAGCAACTTGTGCCTTCTTTGCCCTTCCCCCATAATTTTTTTTTCTTTTTTTTTTTTTTGTTTACCCCTCCCTCTCTCTCCTCTCCATCCCATTTTTTAAATGAAGCTAATTGCTGAAAGCTCCTCTTATATTGATCTAAAATGTACCATTAAAAAAGAAATCTTTCTACATAGTTCTGCCCTCTGGAGTCTCTCAGAACAAGTCAAATCCCTCATCTATATGACGGCCTTTAATATAATTTGAATAGAATATGACTTGATTTCCAGATCCTTCGCAGAAATAATTGCTCTCCAATGGGTATCTCTCAATTTTTTCTCATATATGTTCTCACCTTTCAAAAGGCTGTCCCTTTTGCTTTCCTTTTTTTTTTAAATTTTAATTTAATTTTATATTTTTGAGACAGGGTCTCACTGTTGCCTGGGCTGGAGTACAGTAGTAGCATTATCATAGCTCACTGCAACTTCAAACTCCTGGGCTTAAGCAATCCTCCTGCCTCCCAAGTAACTGGGACTACAGGCACACACCACCACAGCCAGCTAATTTTTCTGGTTTTCTGGGTCTTTCTGTATTGCTCAGGCTGGTTTAGAACTCCTGGGCCTCAAGCAATCCCCTGCATTGGCCTCCCAAAGTGCCGGGATTACAGGTATGAGCCACCACACCCGGCCCCTTTTGCTTTTCTTTACTTCTCTCTGTGAGTTCCTGCTTCTAGGTCTGTATCATCAAAGAAGATACACCCTGGAAATTTGCTACCATTTTTCTCAAGGTCTATTTACCACTGGTGCAGGTATAATAAACTGAAGTTAGATCTTCCCTCACATCCCCATTAAAAAAGGTAAAGCACAGGATGCCATTTGTAGGTTCTTTATATTAGGAACTCCCAGAATTTGGAGGATAAGAAAGAAATTAATAAGAATCTGCTCATAATAATGTTAGAGATAAGCCCTTTGTAGGAGTCAGTTACTCTAAGAGTAGATTACTGAATTAATTGCTGTGAAGACAAGAAACAATCACCAGAATCAAAAAAGGTGTCCAAGAGTAGTATTCTTGATACTATACTTATCAACTATGGGACAACCTGACTATAGTAAAGATGATCTACATGGAGGTTATAAAAAAGAACAAAGGCCAGACATGGTGGCTCATACCTGTACTCCCAGCACTTTGGGAGGCTGTTGGGGGAGGATTGCTTGAGCCCAGGAGTTTGAGACCAGCCTGGGCAACACAGTGAGACCCAGTCTCTACTAAAAATTTTTTTAAAAAAATAGCTGGATGCAGTGGCATGCACCTGTAGTCCCAGCTACTTTGCAGGCTGAGCGAGGAGGATCACTTGAACCCAGGAGTTTGAGGCTATAGTGAGCTATAACTGCGCCACTGCAATCAAGCATGACACAGCATGACCCCATCTCTGAAAAAAACAATAATAAAATAATAAAGGGAATAGAGACCCAACCAGATCCACTCTTACCTGAGGGATCATCATGGTGGGGGAAGTACAGAGTTCTGGGTTTGGATTGTGGGTGTTTTCCTTTTCTCTGGCTTCAGGAGTTCTTACTGGCTTCTCTGGTGGCTCTGGATTAGAAGAGGCCTCTAGGGAGGCTCTAGGACTTGGAGTCCCAGTCCCCAAGAAGGCCCTGGGGCTGGTGGGTGAAGCCCCTCCAGAAGCTGGAGGGCTGGAGGGTATGTTCCCCGAGGAGGGCCTGGGGCTTGGAGTGGCTCTGGGTGGAGGAGGCCTACTAGGTGGTGCTGAGGTTCTCTGGATAGAGGCTCTCTTCTTTGGGTGTTCAGATCCTTCACTTGAGGTACGAGTTCGGAAGACTACTTCTGGGGCAGATGAAGGCTGCTCTGATTCTGAAGGAATCAGGGCTCTGCCTGGTGATGGAGCTGCAGAGCAAGGGAGAACTTCCTCCTGGGACTTTCCACCCTCAATGGTGGGAGAGGGCTGGGCCTGGGTTGGGCCATTGCAGGCTGGTAGAGACTCTTCTTCCTCAGAAGAACTTGCTTCGCACCTTTCTTCTTCTGTTTCCTCATCTTCTAAGGGCTCTTCTTGCTCTTCTTTGATCTCGGAATTGTCTTCTCCCTGAGCTGCATCAGGTGCCAGGTCTTCTTCAGTTGCTGAGCCAGATTCATTCTCATCCTTCAAGGAAAGTGCAGAGGGACTGGTAGGTGAGCTTAGAGAGCTGGAGACTGTAGATGTTCGGACTGGGGGAGAAATGACTAAAGAGCGCCTGCTGCTGCTAAAAAAGGAAGGGCATTCAGATTTAGAAGAACTAAAAACTAGAAGTAACCTAAATATCCAAAAATAAATTATGATGTAGGCACATAATAATAAAACAGAATAAAACAAATTAAAATGTTAGAAAGTTTGTCTAATTTGTAATAATGCTTAGACAGTGAAGTGAAAAAAGACTATAAAATTTTATCTGTATCATGATCTCAATTATGTAAAAATATTTATAGAAAAAGAGACTGGAAAGAAATACAGCAAAATATTAGCAAATATTTCCTCTGGGGAAAAGACTAAGGTCATATAGAGCTGATCCACACAGATTTCGTATCTGTGAATTTGCCTACTTACTTGTAACCCCCAAATCAGTACTTGTGGTACTTTCCCAGTCACTCGTGGACATGCACAAGTGGTGAAAGACGAGTTGCCCGACATGCACTTTCCCAGCTGAGGTCTAACAAGGCACCAATCTACCTTTTTGTGTCAGCTCTCAAACTGTAAACAAGTGTCCTTTTCACCATGTTTTTCACACTTCTGTGGTTTTTGCTGGTGATTTTGCTACTTAAAACCGTTCCCAAGCTGAAGTACTAAGCACAAGAAGACTGATGTGACTTACAGAGAAAATACATGTGTTAGATAAGCTTCACTCAGGCATGAGTTACAGTGCTGTTGGTTTTGAGTTCAATATTGATGAATCAACAATATATATTAAATAAGGTGTCTTTACACAGAAACTCACATAAAACAAGGTTATGTACTGGCTGGTTGATGAAAATGTTGTGACAAGAGGCTCACAGGAACCTATCCTGTGTTTCCCCTACAAGCAATGGTTCAGTAGTATTCAGTGTTGTGGCAACTTTGTAAAGCATAACTCCTACAAATAATAAGAATCAACTATAACATTTATCAAGTTATGATAAATGTGCTGGATTCTGTGCCTCCTATGTACTGTCCATCAACTGATCAAGCAGCCCACAAATATAAAACTGACAGGTGCCAACTATGTGCTGTGTCCTGGGCACAAGGAGGGGACATGGGGAGGGGGAGAGGAAGAGGAAGAGGAGGAGAAGAAAGGAGAGAGAAACTTAGTTCTTGCCCTATGGGAGTTTCTGATGTGGGACAAGTAGGACATACGTTCCTTCTAGCACTAGCATTCTAGGAGCCAGTAAGTTCAGAAGGCTCAAGATATAGCAAGAGAAAACCATATTTCCCTTCAAGGTTCTGGGACATCTCAGTGTAAATGATGGTCAGTTTGGGAAGAACAGACCGTTATAAAGAACTCTGGTTTTCAATGCTTGGAAGAAGAGAAACAGAGCTTTTGGAGCAAAAGGAAATTTGTCTAGGAAGTCTACATTGCCTCTTTAGTGATTCTTTTTAATAGTCTGTAACTAATTGCTAAATGAGTAGTACAAACAACACATGTGAGCCCTATTCTTCCTTCAAGTCCCAAGCTCAGTTTCACCACCTCCTAAAGCCTTCCCTAGCCATCTGCACATTGGCAATTACTTACCTCTTTGGAATTCCTAGTGGTCTCATTAGGTGCTTAGTATGTGCAAGCTTATATTATTCTTTGTCTCCTTAGGCACATTTTCTATACTTCCAACTTTCTGTAAATCACTTTAGGGAAAGGACAAGGACAATGTCTCTGGATTCCTAATACCCAGCATTAAACCCGGTGCATAGAAAGAGCTTAATAACACTTTCTGAACAAAGGCTTCAGCATGAGCAAGTGATCACATTCTGACAGACCAGTGAGTTGCTTACATTTACTAGTATGAAGAAAGTATGAAAGCAAAAGACACCACAAAAAGAAGTGGGAATAGGAAGCCAAAGATATTTGCAATGCATACAATTAAAAGATTAGTATCCAGAATACACCAACAAACAAACTAATAAAACAAATAAACAAAAACTCATATAAATCAGTTTTTTGAAAAGGTTTAACAACCCTATTGAAAAATGGGAAAAGGATAAATAGGAAAGCCACAGAACAGGAAACTTAAATGGCCAATAACATGAAAAGATGCTCAAGGTAACTACTAATTGTGGAGCTGTGACTTAAAACTGCAAAAAATTCCATTTCATACCCATGAGCTCTGACAATTTCATGTATAGCAAGAATGTGGAGCCATGGGGCCTCTTAATCACTGCTGACAGGCTGTAAACTGGAACAATCACTTTGGAGAGCAATTTGGCAATATCCGGTAAGACTCAAGAACGCCCCAGTGACAGACCTCATGACTCAGCAATTTCATTCCAAGTACAGACTCTAAAGAAACTCTTGATAATATTTACAAGGAATATGTAAAACATGTTCATTGCAACATTATTTCTAATAGCAAAAAACTGGAAACAACTCAAATGTCTTGAATTAGCAGGAGGAAGATAGATAAATCAATCATGAATTAGGCATATAATAACATCCATAACAGTTATGGAAAGGAAAGAACAGAGCTATCAACATATAGTAATAAGGATAAATGTTACAAACAATATTAAGAGAACAAAAGAAGTTGCAGAAGAATACATACATATAAATCCATTTATATAAACTTTAAAGACATGCAAAACACTGTTTTATGTGTACATGTACATGTGAAGTAAAAGAAGAAAGACATGCATGGAAATAATAAATACTAAATGTAACAATGGTTACCTTTGGTATGCAGGAAGAGAAAGTGAGTGGGGAAGGGACATTGGGAGCTTCAACTATATTTGCAATAGTTGATTTCTTAAATTTGGTAGTAGGTATATGGTTATTTGTTGTATTATTCTTTATACCTTCAGTTATGTCCGAAATATTTAAGGAAAAGAAATAATTTCTATGGGGCATAATACAAACAACAAACATGATGCACATGAACATAAGGGAAAGGTCAGGATTTTGGATTGCAGAAGAATACATACAGTATAAATACATTTATATAAAATTTAAAAACATGCAAAACAGTATTTTATGTGTGCAGATGAGGATGCTGAATACTTTCACATACAGGACAGGTAAAGCAGAAGAGAGTCTCAGAAGTTGCTCACCTGGATAGTCCCTTCACCACAAAGACTTTGTTGGAATGTTGCTTCTCCAGTTTGCTCATCACCTCGTAGAGAGTGTTATTCAGCTAGAGTCAGCAAGAGAGAAAGGGATGCTAGCCAAGTGGGAACCTGAAACTGGCATATCCCTTCTCCCCTCTCCTTCAGACAGCTTCTCAAAATAAAAGCTCACCCTTTCTACTCTGATCTATAATTCCTCCTCATCTCTCTAGCACTAATGTCCAGGGTCCTGTCCCACCACCCCTTCTTCCTTGTCTCTTCCATCAGACTGGCAGCTCTCTTAAGACAGCATCCATAACTGGTGTTTGATTTGAGGTTCTATCTTCTCTCAGGTGATCCAGGGAATGAAAACTCAAAACTCATTTTAATATTAACTAGGTAAGTCATACGATAGCCAAAGAAACTGTGAAGAGTAATATGTGTGGCTGTGTGAATATAATTAATATTGTAGCAAAAAAGAATCTTGGAATCCAAGGACTAGAAAAGACCCCATAAGGTTGTTATATGGCTGCCTATCACTGATAGGATTGGTCCTATTGAAGACCAATGACCTGAGAAACTGACTTGTGCTTAAACACTGACCTTCCTGCTCTCCAGCAACAATAGATAGAGATTTCACAAGTTGGTTCCCCATTATGATTGTTCGTTCCACAGGCCTAACCTTGTTTATTCATGCTGAAGCCCAAGTTTAGATGTACTTATTCAGTTGCTAAGGGAGATGGAAAGGGCTCTCTGGTAGTGTATATATGTGCTTTAATATAGTTTAAGACAGTCAATCAGGTGCTATTATTTTATCATGAGATAAAAATCAAAATCTGTGCCGCCAATATGGATATTTAAAGGAATTATATAAATCAGGGCTACCTTCATATTTATTAGAAAAACACACCTAACAGTCTCGATTGGTCAGATGTTTCTCACCTTGCTCATTTCCCTGTAGAAGACATCCCTCAAGTTGGAAATGTTTTGGAAGATGGTCACATAACAGCCAATACGACTATTAGAAAGCAAAAAACACAGAGAGGTAAGTGACGGTAAAGGAGTTTTTGAAATGCAAAGTAAGACCTTAAGCCAAAACCAGCTTCAACCAAGGCTCCTCAGAGAAAGGCATCCCACATCCTAGACTCAGCAGGTTCTGCGATCTGGATTCATCAGAGCTGGGCCAGGAGTGCACCTTACTCTTAGGAGCAGGAAGGCCAGGGAAGACAGTATCGGCTCAGGCTGACACCAAAGTTTAACAGGTTCATGAAGTTATATGATTTGGGCTCTTGAGGTACTAAAGTAGACATGAAAGTGCTTTGAAGAATTTTTTTAAAGGGCCATATAATTATAATTGTTATAATAAGTAGTTATTCTTTCTCCTTATGCAGTACAGGATTTCTATGCCTGTATGTACATTAATGAAATTCTTCTGTAAATGAATCAAGGAAGTTTACATTTAAAGAAGTTATATTAAATTTCAATTCTATTTAAATTAGGAGTCACACAATTAATGTTTTATAATACATGTAGCCATTAAAAAGGCTCCATCATACATGTACTAATGTTAAGTGACAACACAAAATACTCTGACTACAATTGTGTTAAAGCATATCTTGTACAATGAGTAGAAAATAGGATACAAAAGGAGTTTCTCTCAGATTTCTTTTCCAGTAGGAAAATTTAAATCTAAAACACTTTTATCTCCTGTGAAGCAAAGGTAACTTCATTAATGCAAATAATCATCCCATGGTTTATTGTCTATGTAAATCTGCATGTTTATAAACCAAGCTCATTTAAAACAATACACATTTGAGCTGAAAGCAGATACTCCTAGAGTGCATCATGGCAGCACTTTATTTGCCAAGATCTTTCCTATCCAAGAAGCATCTTGTCTTCAAACCCAGAAAAGCTGGCAGGGCAAGGATGGTTATCTCTGTGTTGTAGATGAAGAAACTAGGGTCTCGAGAGATACAGTAGCTTGCTTAGTATCACAGAGTAAGTTAGTGGCAGGGGAAACTATATCCCACTCTTGAACCGGGGCTCTTTTCATGAAGTGACATAGTTGGGCTGCCAGGAAGCCAGCCCTTTCTGGAATCTCAATCATTACCTATTATAAAGAACAGGCAGCTCCTCTAGTAGTTCCTGGTTCAGATCTTCAAACACAATCTGGGCTTTGTTGAACTCTTCCTCTGCCTAGGTTGTAAACAGATAAGAAATCATCCTCAATCCTGAGCCCAAGGATAAGGCTGCCTCCTTTATCCTGTGCATTTTTTCAGAGACTAGGTTTTTTATTTTTTGTGTGTGTGACAGAGTCTCACTCTGTCACCCTGGATAGAGTGCAGTGGCGTCATTATAGCTCACTGCAACCTCAAACTCCTGGGCTCCAGTGATCCTCCTGCCTCAGCCTCCTGAGTAGCTAGGACTACAGGCATGCACCACCACGCCCAGCTAATTTTTCTATGTTTAGTAGAGATGGGGTCTCACTCTTGCTCAGGCTGGTCTCGTACTCCTGAGCTCAAGCAATCCTCTCACCTCAGCCTCCCAAAGTGCTAGGATTACAGGTGTGAGCCACTGTGGCATCAGGGACTAGGCTTAATTGGAGCCACACCTCTCTTTCCCCAGACCCATGTGTTCCCCAGCCTTAAGACTCTGACTATCCTTACAGCATCAGTGTCAGAAGAAAAAGGATTTCCTTCGGGACACTGGATGCAGAATTTATCATTTCCTATATCCATCTTGGCTCAGCCACCTGCCTATGGGGAAAGAAAGAACAAGAAGGTTTTACCAGGTTTTATTTTTTATTTTTTTACCTTGGCAATCTTGGCCTCATCTTTCTTCTTGGCATTCTGCACCGCCTCCAGGTGGTGTCGAGCACTGTCATAGTCCACAAGTTTCCGACCCCGCTTGGCAATTCTCTCCTAACCCATGGTGATGAGAAAGGGCATGGATACTCACTTTGCAGTGGCCAGGATGGAGGTAACAGAGTAGTAAGCAGAGAGGCAAGATTCCTGGGTCCTATTATCAAATTATACTTTCTAACAGGGTTTTGTGCCCAAGGGATCTCCTTCGCTATCTGAGAAGAATGGAGATTCTCAGGGGGAGACAGAGTAGGGGGCAATTCTACAGAGCATGTGGAAACTTGTATTAAAATTTAACATTTCCTATGAACCCATTATAAGTTGGTTCAGCCTCCTGGAGAAATGGCCTTGAGAATCCTACTAAATTGAAAGTCTGGAGTTTTGAGTCTTAGTTCCAAATCTGCCATTCATTAGCCTTTTGGCCAATGGCAAGGCACATCTCTTTTGGAGCCTCAGTAGCCTCATCTGCCCTATATAAGTGTTCTTTTAAAGATCAAATGCTGAATATAAACTGCTTTGAAAACACTGAAGTGCAATAAAAACAGTAAATTGTTATGAGCACTGAAAGAAAGTCTACTCAATCTTACCCAAACTATAAAGTATACCAAGGAGAAGCAAACTATGTCATTGGCCTGTTTCATTCTCTCAATCATGGAATTTGAAAAGATCTTAGCAATTATCTTCTATGTAATACATGAAGCTTCTCTACAATATTTAAGATAAGAGGTAGTCCAACTTCTGCTTGAACAGAGAATAAACAACTCACTATCTCAGAGTGTATTTCATTTCATTTTTGGAAAGCTTTTAACTATCAGAAACTTAAGTCAGTCTCCCTCTAATTTCTTCCTCTTAATCTAAAATTAGCACAATGCCTGACAAAGTGGGTGTTTAATAAATATTAGTTGAATAAATAAATGAATCTAATTCTGCTTCTGGAACAGTTTACAATGGGTTGAATTTCTCTTTCACCACACTTTCAAGTATTTGAAGATAACTATTATCACTCCTCCAAGTTTCCTCTTTTATACAATAAACATCTTTACTGCCATTAGCTGTTTCTCTCCAGCTAAAAGGGATGCCTTGCCTTGGATCTAATTCAAAACAAGCCCAAATTCAGCTCACTGAAATCTAAATTTAAATATAACCTCATACTATCTCTAACCCTCCATCCTAACCTCTTGTCTAACACTCAGTTTTAATCCTTCTCGGAACTTATCCAACTTCATTTCTAATCATAAGCTCTAACTCTACTTTCAGAGTTTAACTCAGTATGTTCTCTAACCTGGATGTGCCATCTACAACCCGGCCTTGATTCTGTAAATCAAGTACCTTAATCTCGCTGAACTGGGCTACATAGTTTTCCATGGTCCTCACAGCCTGGTCAGCCAGTTTCTCTTCATAGTCTTCCCAAAGGAGATCATTATTCTGTGGGATAAAGGGAGAGGCTGGTGAAGGTTTCACTTCTTAACAACAACTGCCTTCCAGGGAGCATGATATTGACAGTATTATGTTGGATTCTAGGGAAGAGTCAGAGGAAGAAAAGAAATAGCCCCTGCAGGAGACTGGACAAACATTCAGGGATTAAGAACATGAACATATGGTCAAAGCCTTGGACTCTAGAGCTTAGAGGACAGGGAAGTTTGGGAGTAAATAACTGCATGAAGTTAGTTTTCAAAAACAACCAATCTTCAGGAGGTAAAACTTCCATAAGGTCTTAAAGAGGGGAAGAAGGTCAAAACCCAGAGGAATCCACAGACTAGGGAAAATTTGTTTTTACCTTGACAGTTGCAGCTTCTTCCTACCACTCAGTGACTGAGGCAATATAAATGGACAATGTGAACTGGCTCCTTTGTTTTACTATGTTCTTGGATAGTGAAGCTAAGCTGAGATGGGGATGAGAACAGGAATAAGTGCTGAAAAGTTGTGAAGCCCAAGCCACCCTTACCCCTACGATGGCCTTCAGCTCCTCATGACCATCCCACTCGCTGCTGTAGATCTCCTGTAGGGTTTCTGACACTCTCTTTGAACTTTCGTGCATCACTGAAAGGAAAGAATCCAGTCCTACCATGAAGTTTTCCCACAAGTAGTTTGGCATAATCACATGGGTGACAAATCAGTGGGTCCAATTCAGAAGGACAAACTCAGAAGATTTAGGTCATTAGTGAGGGAAGCTGGATGGGGCTGGGATAGAAAAAGTCATTCTTTCTTGGCCCCCAAAGTCCCAGGAGTCAAAGACAGACAAGTGATAAAAGCCTGGGTATGTTTTTTTTCCCACCCCCAGACCTCCTAGTAGCTGCACAAATGCCCTCTGGATTCTCTTGTGCTGTAATACCCACCTTTGACTGCACTAAGGAAGTTCTTTAGATCCTTGTACAGCTTGTGGCCTTCTGTCTGAAAGGGAAAAATATATCTGGTGACTAGAGATACATTCAAAAGATGCTCCAGAGATCCAAGTCAAAAAGCAGGTTAAAAGCAGAGATCACATCTGAAATTTCTTCACATATTCACAATTGTTATAACTTAGCCTTTACTCTCTTTATCAACAAGTTGTAGGTTGTCTCTTTTGTGTGAATTTTTAAGATGGGGGATTGCTAGAGCTCCCATTGCATTGGCATGTCTTCTTTCTTCTGTTTGTTCTCCCTGCCAGTGAACTAGAGCCTGTACCCAAGTTCCTCTGTTGAAATTTAAGTGTCCTCTGTGTGACATGGTCTATGTGATCCTCTGGCTTACACCCTTCTCTTTGGGTAGATAAACTACTACCATTTTCTGCAGACACCAGGGCCTCTTTCTCCTCTGAACCCTCACACAGACACTTATCTCCTCCCCTGACATCATTCTCTGCCTTGCCTCACTTTTCCCTTCTCTTCCATCAGTCACCTGCTTTCCACTTCTCTCCCAGGAGCTTCATTATTCACTCTCCTTCTGGTCCAACCCCAGTGTCTTCATCTATAGTTGTCTCTCTCTGCTTCTATCTTTGCTCCTGTGACTGAATTCTTATTTCTAGGCTAGAAACTCCCAGGTACAGACTAGGTTTCCTTCTCTCTCTAAAAAAGAAGAGGAGAGGAAGGTATCATTTAGAGTTAGAAGTTCAAATCTCAACCTGATAGATGAACTGGTTTTACTGTAACTTTGACAAATGTCCACTTAGCCTGCTTCTTTTTTGAGACAGAGTCTCACTCTTTTGCCCGGGCTAGAGTGAGTGCCATGGTGTCATCCTAGCTCACAGCAACCTCAAACTCCTGGGCTCAAGCAATCCTACTGCCTCAGCCTCCCAAGTAGCTGGGACTACAGGCATGCGCCACCATGCCCGGCTAATTTTTTCTATATATTTTTAGTTGTCCAGCTAATTTCTTTCTATTTTTACTAGAGATGGGGTCTCGCTCTTGCTCAGGCTGGTTTCGAACTCCTGAGCTCAAACAATCCACCCGCCTTGGCCTCCCAGAGTGCTAGGATTACAGGCATGAGCCACCACGCCCGGCCTAGCCTGCTTAAATACTTCCAGAAACTTGAAACCCCAAACCCACAACCTCTTGTCTCAGATAGCACTGCTTCATTTTTAAATAGCTTTGTTAGAACTTTTGCCCACCAGTCTTAGGTTGGCCTTCCGTAACCACAGGGTAGATCTAATTTCTCTTTCACACATGCTTGAAGACAACTTTCATGCGCCCATCACCAAGTCTTCTTTGTTATAGGTTTCCTTAATTGTTCCTTATGGTGTTGTTTAAAGCCTCTTCCCATTTTGGTCTCCTTCCTTTGTGTGAATTCCAGTTTCTAAGAGTTCGTTGGGAAGGAAGTTTAAGGCCAGATGGTTGATATTTTGGTATCTGACTTCAGGAGTGTGGGACTAGGCTGAGAGAGGTAGCCCACATTAAGGGTACTCTACAGGGCCAGCCCATAGGTTAGGAAAGATTAGTTCAGGTGATGGAATACTTGAAAGCTGAGATGCATTATTCAGTACACCTTAAAATAAGTGTTGTGAACTTGTTCACTTGTCATTTACTGTGTTCATTACTTGATAAGCTATTAAGCATACCAAAAGTATAAAAAATTTATGGGAGGAAAAAAAGGAAAATTCTATCATAGAAAAAAAGGAAAATTGAGAAAATTCTATCTCATGACTTAAAATTTTTTCCTGTAGAAATCTTTGGAAAAGATCACTATTATTTAATTTTAGCAACAGAAAATCAAGTTCTACTTGACCAAATACACAAAGACAACTGGACTAAATATTCCATCCATCTTCTTTCCTCCAGAGCTCACTTCTAAGCTCCTCCAAACTCTTGACTGTACTTCAGGTTAAAAGTCCCTCTTAAGTGGCTAAAATGGCAGGTTGACAGGACATGAGGACACAGGAATAGTCTCAAAGGAGTCAAAGGCACTGTCAGAGAGGTGGAAGAACTGGGATTGTATACTGTTATATCAAATGAGGAACAAGAGACATCAGAGAAATGAAAAAGGGTCAGATCTACAGAGAGGTTAGAAGGCAGGAAGAATTGGTAAAAATGCACTGGACTTGGCAGTTGGAGGTCACTAGTGACCGTGAGAAAGCACTCACAATACCATAATAGAGACAGATTTAGTTAGTTAACAAAATTCAGAAACACTAAGCACTTACCAGAAAGGATGTCTCACTTCCTCCTCACTTTTTCACTCATAGAAAAAAGTTTAGATATCCAAAGATGTTAAATGTACATAATATCTTTTAAACATGGATAAGGTAGGTAAGTTCAAAAGTTTGAAAATGTGATAATCAAAGTTTCAAAGAACTTTGAAAGAATTTAGGTGATTATAAAAATTTAACAAGGCTTTCAAATTATTTTTTGAAAGTAAACAACATGAACTCAACTTTTTTCTTGACCATAAAATTTTTCTTTTTTTTTTTTGAGACAGAGTCTCACTCTGTCACCCTGGCTAGAGTGCCGTGGCGTCAGCCTAGCTCACAGCAACCTCAAACTCCTGGGCTCAAGCGATCCTTCTGCCTCAGCCTCCCAAGTAGCTGGGACTACAGGCATGCGCCACCATGCCCGGCTAATTTTTTCTATATATTTTTAGTTGTCTGGCTAATTTCTTTCTATTATTTTAAGTAGAGGCAGGGTCTCACTCTTGCTCAGGCTGGTCTTGAACTCCTGAGCTCAAACTATCCTCCCGCCTCGGCCTCCCAGAGTGTTAGGATTACAGGTGAGAGCCACCGTGCCAGTCTATTACTCAAATATTTTTGAAATAAAATTTTTATGGTGGACTGGGTGTGGTAGCTCATGCCTGCAATCCTAGCACTCTGGGAGGCTGAGGTGGGAGGATTGCTCGAGGTCAGGAGTTTGAGACCAGCCTGAGCAAGAGCTGAGATCCTGTCTCTACTAAATGTAGAAAGAAATTAGCTGGAAAACTAAAAATATATAGAAAAAATTAGCCGGGCATGATGGTGCATGCCTGTAATCCCAGCTACTCGGGAGGCTGAGGCAGGAGGATCGCTTGAGCCCAGGAGTTTGAGGTTGCTGTGAGCTAGGCTGACGCCAAGGCATTCTAGCCCGAGCAACAGAGCGAGACTCTGTCTCAAAAAAAAAAAACAAAAAACAAAAAAAAATTTGAGTAATAAAAACTGTTAAACTATCTTATATAATTTCTATAAATGAAATTCTTGATTTTTTTTCCTATTAGATATCACATGGCCCGAAAAATCAGATCAGTATAATAATCAAGGCTACCATGTATGATTGTACACTGTTTAAAACTAAGGATACTATTTATAATCATAGTCCAGAAAATGTGAATACTTCTCCTCTCCACTGCACCTCAAAAAAGCCCATTTCCATTTGTATTTTAGAATCAAGCCTTAGTCACAAAGTTTTCCTTCATGCTCTTGCTCTTTTCTTCAAGAAGATGAAGTATGGGTGTGTGTGTGGAGGTGGTATTTGAGTGTGGGGGATGGTAGGGGGAAGATGGGACAGTACTGGGTGTCATTTTATTTCTCTGACCATCCTCCCCTGAAATGTCTCCAGACTGAATAATCCCAGCATCTTTCTCCTTTCCTGACATATATGACTCTCACAGTTTTAGGTTCTCACTGGTCTGGGAGTTAAGAAACTGGGCTCTACCACCAACTAGTGAGCTATTTTACTTCTCTGGCTTCAGTTTCCTCATCTGTAAATGCTGGGAAGGCCATTTCTAGCTCTAAATCTTATAATTTTATCACTTCTACTCTCTGAATCCTTGCCAAATTCTTGGCATTGCAATAAAGAGTCTGAGTCAGTTCTTCCTACTCCTTATACAAACAGTCCCAACCCTCAGTTAATGAACCACTCACTCTGGAAGCTTGTCCTAAGCAGTCAGGTTGACAGACCAAGGTCCTAAGAGACTGGAGTACTGAGGATAGAGAAGGTCCTTGTCCTGAGGTTCTCTACTTGCTGGAGAAAAATAGACTCAGGTAATCAATAAAACAGGTGTAAGTAGCATGACCAAACCCTGAGCAAGTGTTTAAAGTTCTTGGCCTAATGGAGATCCAGGAGGGAAAGATGAAGCTAGATTATTAGATTTGATTTTAAAGGCAATGAATTGGAAGAAGAAACAGCTGTCACTATCAGAAATAAGAGATTAAAGTGCTGCTTGAGGAAAATGATTCTTTTTATGTAGTATGTTTTGAAGAAAAGGAAAGGGTGAAGCAGGCAGAGCCTCGAAGAAAAACTACCTATGGAAATTTGATCAGGAACCTAGGCAAGTGGCAAGGCTTTGAAATCAGGCTGGGAAGTCTGGGACTGATAGGAAAAGCTATTAATAAAAAGTTTACCTGCAAGCTGACTGTGGGTGAGGGACAGGGCACATGACCAACCAGTTCAACTTCTGGAACACTTCACTTTCAATCTCCTTGACCTCGTCCCTTGACCTTTGTCTTAGCCACCCCAGGTCCAGCCTCAGACATGACTGTACTGTCACTGTCTTCCTCCTTAAACTGTGAGAGACTTGAGGGCAGGCATGTTCTCTTTTTCACAATGAAGTTCCAGCATCTATTAATAGCACAGTGCTGGCACTGGGCAGGCACTCATGAAATGTTTGTTAAATGAATTTACCAAGAGGAGAATTTCAAAATCTTGTTCAATCAGTAGTTATTAAAGGAGTATTATTCTCTCGGTCAGAAAGCTTTTCCTTATTCTCAACCTAACTCCATTTCATTTCTCAAATACATTATTATTTTCTCTCCTCAAGTGATGTTTAGATAGCGGACTTACACAGGGAATTCTAAGGGGATTTTCCCATCTGATCTTTTTATTCTTTTTTTGGCCCTTCCTTCATCTCTTACCCTTTGTGCTCACACATCTGCTCTCAGACAGAGGACTGAAGGACACAATGGGCCAGAGTCAGAAAACTTTCAAAGTAGTTGTCAACAGTCCTCTGGGCAGAAACAAGAAAAAAAAAAAAAACAAAAAAACAAAGAAAAGGAAAAAAAAGTGAGTGTCAGCTCACTGATTCTTCTTTTCATGCTGGAGCTGGAAGTAGAACAGTAATTAGAATTGAGAAGAGGCCTAGGGAGGCCTCCTTGTGAGGTACAGTGAAAGAAGCACAGAGTTTAAGTTTGAGTCCTAGCTCTGCAACTTACATGCTGTATTACCTTGATTAAATTACTACCCTCTCAGTCAGATCCTATTTCCCCTCAAAGGGATTGGACTAGATCAGTGGTTGCCTAATGCTGTTCTCAGACTAGCTGTTATATCGTAATTACCTAGAAAGTTTAATATAAAACACAGATTCCATAGTCAATGATCACCTATGGTTGTTAATATCACAAAACAAAGGAGACAACCAGACATTATGTGCCTCCCGATGAAAAAATACAATAACATCTATGAAGTATTCTTGCTACTAAAATAAACAAAATCTGAATCTCATCAAACCTCAAAAATCAATGAATTACAGAAAATACAGGTGACAGAGGAACATGTTGAACAATACCATGGGGATTCAATCAGCAAAATACAGACTGGGGGAAACTGCAGGAAAAACAACCTGGTATCATTAACAAATATAAGATGTAAGAAGGGAAGAATTAGAAATCTATAGATTAAGAGATTTAACCTTTAATCTAATAGACTTAAACATGCCAATGAGTTGCTGACTTGAAAAAAACTGTAAAAAAAAAAACTGATGACACAAACAGGGGAATTTGAATATTGACCAGACATTTTGTAATACTAAGGCATGATGCTAATTTTTTTAGATAGTACTGAGACATATATTTTAGTGGAACATTTAATCTGAAGTATCTGAAAAGATATTTGTATTATATTGTTAAGTGAAAAAGGCAAGTTGCAAAACCAAATGCATGGAATATAATCTCACTTTTGTAAACCTCACATTTATTTATTATAGATATATTTAGATGTCATACACACACATAGCAAATAGCAGTGGTTGTAGCTCAGGAAGATGTGAAATCATTAT